TAATGCGGGCGGCTGGATCCTGGCCCGTCACGAGCGAAATCCCTGGGGTTTAGAGGCGTTCGTGACGAAAAACACTTCAAAGTTCTGCTTTGGCTGTCTTGGCTGCAGAGCTACGTCCAGGTCTATTGTTTTCGCAAGGGTAGATGAAGTCAAAGACGGGGAGCTTAAATCGGTGCAAAGAAGTCTTCCCTCTGGCTTTGCACGTAAATTGATAACCCCCGCGTAAACAAAAGCGGAAAAACGCGGTCTCCTAAATCCAGCTGTAAGGCGACAGAATTCTAATGACGATAAACACCGTCCCCTAGACGTACGTGGTCAGTAACGTGCCACCGCCGTTTCTCATTTCCCCTAGGTCCATCGCCTAAGGTCAGTGGATAATTTATTTGTTGTCGTTCAGGAGTTCAAAGACTATCAATTTAAAGAAAACAAGGTGAGTTGCTCCTCACTTTCCAACCAGTTCTGTGTCTTGGAGAGGTTTTTTTAATTTAAGACTAGTTTCAGAAAGTATTCGGTTTCATGAACAAGGGGTTTTTTTTATTTTATTTGCGATATTATCCCAGTTCCTCTTTGCTGGCTTGTAAAACGGGAGCGCGGTCGTGTTGTCTAACATCATTTCTTCAGTTAAATATGTTGCATGGGCAAAATCTAGGATGAGAGCCGATACCATGCTTGTAGGTCACACTTAGACATGGGACAGTAAAGTATCGCTCCGGTCACTTAACTTAGTGTTAACTGTTTATTTGACAAGATAAATGATGAAATACCATGGGTCCTGTGACTTTAAGTGCAATTCAGTTTAGTTATGGCAAAAATCGCACAAAAAGCTGTAAGCTTTGCTTAAATGTATAGCGGGTTACATGTTTAGGAGACTAATTTGAGAGACTTTAAAAAAGGATAGCAATTAAAGGGATAACTTTGCTTAAATGTATAGCGGGTTACACGTTTAGGAGACTAATTTGAGAGACTAAAAAAGGATAGCTTTTAAAGGGATGGAGTGACTTCAAAGCACAACTGTTTTTTGTCTTTTAAAGGAAGATGCTCTAAAGGATTTGGAAGATTTGGTTAAAAAACTGCCTTGGACCGATCCGTTGAAAGTTTGGGAGCTGAACAACAGCTTAAAAAAGAAAAAGACAAAACGCAAAAAACATAATCTGCAGAGCACTGCAAGCAAAGAGAAGTTGAATGACGATGGAGACGAGGAAGGAAGAGATCAAAAAGACGCTAGTAAACAGGAGGACCGTGCCCAAAACGCTGCAGGTGTAGAACCCGTTAGCGGCCAGGATTCAGAAAAGACACAAGGAGTGGCATCCCGAAATGGGGGGGAGGAGGAGGAGGATAATGAACAGTCAGATGCTAAAGACGAATTGCAGGCAGGTTCTGGGAGCGAGACCAAGGCTGGTGACGGTAAGACAAGCGAAGGAGAGGCGAAGGTGTTGAAGTTCCGTGTGACGTGCAACAGGGCGGGAGACAAGCACAGTTTCACGTCAAACGAGGCTGCAAGAGACTTCGGTGGAGCTGTGCAGGAGCACTTCCAGTGGAAGGCTGACATGACTAACTTTGATGTAGAGGTATAGTGTTGTGCCTTGGAAATACCTACGTTTCTGTTGTAAAAATTCTTAGTTCTTAATTCTGACGCTTAGAGCTCTCCAAAATGCCTTCAAAAGATGACTCTGGAACTAAAGACTGGTAATGCTGAAATCACGTCCTCCTCAGAAGCATTCACGTCATTGACCCTCAGATCCCACCACTTGCTCGTGCTTTGGCTATCCATAATAATAATCTCTTTTGTGGCCCGGCATGGGTACCTCTCCTCTTCCTCGCGTCCCTCTTTTGCTCTGCAAACACTGTTGTCTTCTCCTCAGGTTAACTGATTAACATCACTACACCCAGTGAAGCCGAGCTGGTCCCCAAAAGCTTTCCGCTCTCCCTCAACCACAGCCAAAGCTCTGGTACCAAGTAGCCCCTCCTCCTGTAGTGTTTGGTCTCGTTCATATTTAAATATAATGTAGGCGCCTTCTGCTGTACTTCTACCCTCATTAAATCTTTCCTTAATCCATTGTTTTATATTGGTGTAAGTTAACAGAAGATATTCCACCTAGAAGCTGTAGTTTTATGGGTGAAGGGGACAAAAAGGGTTAACATTAACTGTCCGGTGTTTATTTCTTATCATGGGGAAAGCAGAGATTTGGAAAGGGCGACCAACAGACGTGATCCATCAGTGGTGAGGGACCACCATTTTCTGAGGGGCAGAAAAACTAAGTTTTTCTTGCAAGTCTGTTAAGCGCTGGCCCACTGTTCTATAACAATATTTTCACCTTCCAAATTAACATGGTGGAGGGGACCAGGAATATGATTTTTATTGCTGCTTTGCAAATGCTTCCCTGTGACTTGCAGGGCTTACCTGACTTCTCCCCTGTACTTGGAAAACAAAGCTTTTTAAAAGTCGGCATAATGGTTACAGCACTTTTTGAAGTCTTGTGTAAAAGATTCCGTGTGAATGAGAAAAATGTGTGAACGCTCTCCTGAATTTTGTCCATTGTTGCCATTAAAATGGTGCATTGCTTTTCTTCCAAGAACGCTCTTTTATACGTAGGTCCTGTTTTTTAAGCTACCATCTGAGATTCTCATAAATATTTACCAGGCATACTACGGAAAACTTCTGTTACTCCTGAAATTTAGTTCACGTTTTTTCTTTAGGTTCTTCTGAATATTCACAATAATGAAGTAGTTGTGGGTATTGCATTAACTGAAGAGAGTCTTCACAGAAGAAACATTACACATTTTGGACCCACGACTCTTCGTTCAACTCTCGCTTATGGCATGCTTAGGTCAGTGCAATTGCATGGTATTATATTATTCTCAGTTAACAAGTCATTTTGTTTCAGAAATTAGATCCTTTTTCCCCCCCCCCCTCCCGC